AACTTCGGAGCCATTCACCAATAACAAAGCTCAAATAAGCCGATAGATATCACCCGAGGGCGAAGAGTATAATCTGCTTACAAATTTATTTGTCGCGTTAATTGGACGCAAATTGTGTGATCTTGACGGGGCTCTGGTCTTGACGTTAACGAGGCTATTGTCTGACCAATAAAACAATGCTTTCAATCAACACCTTGATACCTGATCACTAACACCCTTACCATCTTTAAGTCTTTCCTCATAAAACACTGACACCTTTCCTGTCTTTGCTCTTAAACACAGACACCTTTCTATCACACGCACCGCATTTTAAATGCTGCAAAAGTCATGTGTTGTCCATTTAAGATATATACTTTGACCTTCCCGCGTGTAATATTTCAGTGACTTTAGAACCTTTATGTTAGATTTACCCATGTTCATCTGATATGCAAAGATACATCAACGACAATGTGGTTTGTTTACTTTTATATCACGGATTTTGAATAATTTAATTCTTAAATACCGGTACATAAAATATGCGATTCTTCATGCCCTGCAATAAATTTATTTATTTGCAATAATCATCAAGGACGCTGGACCAGAAACGTATCCATCACTTATACTATTTTATTGACATCCGTGATGATGTAGATGTCAGTTCATGTTGATGTAAAATAGTCACCTTTATTAGTTTCTGAAATAAAACGATTCCAGTAACAACTTTTTGCTGGGTTTCTGGAAGCCATTAAGCCCGTTCAGATAGAAATTTAAGTTAAGTAAACAAAATGTAAGTAAGGGTAATATTTGTAGGCAACATCTTTTTTTATATGTAGGTAATCCCGTAATTCCATGTCAACATGGCGCGTATAACGTATAGCAGACGCCACTGTTCATAGCGAGGCTCGTAACATCGCACTTCTTTATACCAAGCGACTAAAAACCCCAGTTTAAACACTAAAAACTGTTTCACATTTTCTTGTTATAACAAGGACTAGTTAAAACAAATAAAAGATGTACCACTACTTGTCACGATAAGTAATCGCCGACATTTTATCTATGAAGCAAATTGCCATTGACTTATAAACTAACAACTTCCCACTTTATTCCTAGCCGAACACATTATTTTAATATTTAAAGGTCGAGTGTCATCTTTCTGTAGAAATAGGGAACCGAACTACTCTATACTAAATGTTAATGCTGAAGTACTGTACAGCCAAATAAGTTATATAGGCTTCATACCTAAAGGATAAGTGGTATCTGATGCTTAGAACGATTAAGTGCATTGACTAGTCACTAAGATGAAATGTATAGTTTGAATTCAAAATGCCCCCCCCCCCCGCGATTGTCGGAAACGGTTAGGTAAAAACAAATTATTACGTAAAGACGATCCGATATCGAAAGTTATTCAATATGTATTTTCAAAATGTACGAATTTGTCACCAAAACTGAAGTATCGTAATTAATGCAATGTCTACCAAAGAAAAAAGACATGCTACCCACCCTTTAAAATGATCGTTCAACACCAACACCTACTAGTTATATCTGTCAAGCCAAATCACACGTACCATGTTAAAATATGTCATAGATGCTACTTAGATACAAGACGTCAAAAAAAGATGAATAGAAATCATATGTCTATGTATATGTCTAAAAACGTCACACTGTCATATTGTTTTAATGGGAAATGATTTATCCATGTAAGAGTCGATTATAGACAGGATAAAATATCAATTCATTGTTATAATATCTTTAACGGAAGATATGCATAGAAGGATAGTATATTCCAAATAGAAGAATGTCTAATAAGGTAGGCAGTGTTTGGATTTATAGAAACATTAAAGAAATTTTAATAATTTATTCAAAATTATGATGTTTAATAATAAGATGAGATTTTATAATCCCTGGCGATTGTATGGAATGCGACATTAGTACTGATTATCTTGAAAAGTCAATATTGTAACCTTGTTACTGTGATTTTTAAACAGGTAATTTTTGAAGAAAAGTCGTATACATTCCCAAAAATTTTTTTTTGGTTTAAAATGCAAATAGATTTCCGGCTTCAAAACAAATTAAAATATCATAATTTAATTAATATGACATTTTATTGTTTCGAAAAACTCTTGGGATCGCGCATTTGAAATATAACAGATTAGACGTTAATGTCGGAACCCAGAGCTGTTCTACTTTCCTATTCCTTGTAATTTTTCGTATGTAATTAATTTTTTTTTTGCTCACCATTTAAAATATTTCTCATCCCAATCCAATGTCTATACACGTCCATTGTGAAATGATAAGGTCCAACCCGTTTTCAGTTAAAATATCATTTTAAATTAATATGGAATTTATATTTTTTTTACCGACAAGTAGGAGGTCGCTTACTTGAAATTCAAATGCGGAACCACTTTAGGTGTAAAATATAACAGGTTTCTAGAAAGAGCAGGAGAAAGAAAACCGTGTGTGGACTACACTGTGTTGCTGTTTTTTTTTTATTTGCAAAGTTTCTGCCCGTGCCCGAAGAATATCACCATTTGTTATTTCTTGAACATTATGTTGATTTAGAACTAAGATCAACACTGAATCATGAGAGTACTCCGATTGCCGTAGAATTACATTTAATGTCATTTTAATTCTTCATTCCATTCCATTTTCTATTATTGACATGTTTTCATTTCCTTTGTTAAAATCCCAAATAAATTAAGGTTGGCATGGTAATGACCGGTTAAGATGGCCGATAATGGGCACGCCGAAGACTGTAGGTTAAATATTTGAACGGAAAATTGAAAACTAATCCCCACATTAATCTCATATCTAAACGATAACCCCATTCTTCCCCCGGGCGGGGTAATCCGATCAAGGTGACTGAACATTTGTACCTTGTCTGACCACTGTCCTTAGTGTCAATCAGCTTGATGGGCGGTTTTAATAAGTAGTTATAGCAGGAATATGATAAACACAGTACTACGGTGTTTCAGTTTGGAATGTTCGGTCATTGTATCGCCGATGATGAATCGTCTATTCATGGCTTGTAACGGCACATTACGTCTATTCTGATTTCCCTGTAGGCTATTTTCTGGGCAAAAAGCATCCCATTGTTCCCTTTTTATAGGGTAATATTGACTTATTACCATGTATATATATATATAGTGTGTTCTCATTGGCCGCATCTGCGCCTTATGAATAATATATCGATGGCAATGTCTTTTTAAATTTCGAAATCTTTTGATACAATGAAATAATCAAGGTACACTGTACATGTACATATTTTTTTGAAACCGTAGCTTACCGTTTACACGATTATACTAAGCCGAACTCCCTTTTCGGAATATTCTGACCACCCGAAGACCGTCCCGGTGTTGCTCGCTATCTTACTGCTTTTTAGTCGTAAAATAAGGGATCTAAATCTCAACATTTTTAACAAGTAAAATAAGTGTGGGGGTGTGTGGGAGGTTTAATATACAGTAGGCATATAACAATTATGTCAAAAGGTTGATACTGACAATAGATATATCATGATCATTAACGGAGACGTAACGAGACCACTGAACGGCAAAGTATACAGTAGGCATGTCAAACGGTACAACATTAATGGAGACATAAGAAAGCAACTGAACAAATCGGTCCCCGACTCTTATAAAATATGTATCCCAATAAGGAACCAAACAGACAAGAACTGGAGCCAAACCTGCTATCACGTCAAACTGAAAAGTAGCTGAAAGGAAATAAATACCTTTATAGACAATTGTAATCATATACTTAACCTAAAATAGAATCTTTATTTATGAATTATAACTCAAATAATTTATTTTCAATTCTTTTTTTAAGGACAGTATGCATAATATCTATTTTATCTTTAAACACCGGTATGCAATTCTAGTGACATAATGAAACCACATAGCATATCCATACTTGTTATTGTTTTCATATTTCGATTATTTTTTCCACTGATAGATATCTTTAATTCACCACGCCTGCAAGTTGACGTAATTAAGATATATAATAGCTAGAAGCACAATTTGTCGTTTAATATAACACACGTACAAACTGTCACAATTACAATGGCCAATTATTTATAAAATCCCTACTGTTCATATTTACATACAACAATTGCTTTTTAGAATGATTAATGAATGTAACCGTACTTTATTTGTGACTATCAGCGCTTAATAAGTATTATTTTAGTAAGAATGTATATATCGTTCGATTTAATGACATCTCAGATATTTCAAATACTTTTATTAAAACAAAATTTTATTCACAGGATACCGAAACAAGCCAACGGCTTATATAAATCGGCTTCCCAATACTTTAATATCGGAATGCTAATTAAATCAAATTATGAACATTGACCCTTTTGAGAGAGGCTTAGGGTAGGCTAATCGAACGTCAAGGGATTTTTTATGCCCGGTTCCAACCTATTGGGGGTAGTGGGGGGGGGGGTGAATGGTTATTACGCACGCGTTGTATGATAAGGTCTATCATTGAGTCAACTGGTGTGGTTTCCATTCCCCGGTTGTATGTGACAAGGAGTAGGGTCGCCTGTCCAACCTCGCGGGTTTTCCCTCCAACCACTAAAGACCCCTACACGCAAACGAATTATTGTAATAAAATTGAACCATATGTTAGTCCGTCCCGAAATGACCTTATGGTTTGTGCCGAGTGGACGTTAGATAAGCAGTTATTGTAAAATCTTAACTTTAGTTTTATTTACTGAACACGGTATATTGTATTTGTGCAACTTAACGGTAATTACGACGTTCTTACCGAGACATTTGTCTATTTAAGTAGGATTTGCCTGGAAGTAAAAGAAAAACCAATCCATTTCTACGATTGATTTTCGTGGTTTTTGAGGGAAGCGTTAAACGAAGGCTTGTGCAATGTTTCGAGAATTAGATATTGCCTATTGATTAGTTATAGACCTCCCACAAAACTCTATAAATGTCTCTGGCATAATAATGTATAAGAAAAGAGGACAAGAAAAATCAGTGAATGCTTTTATTAGTTATATCTGTTGTTTATTTCAGTGGCCACATCTTACCACACTGTATTCATCGGGCTCGTCATCACGTCTCAACGATGAAAGCCAGTTTCCCGATCCTATGGTGGCCCACGATAATGTCATTCATACGGATAAAATGTACGGTGCCTACAAATTCTTTTATCAACCAGAAGACGGTGGTCGACCCTACCCCATCTCACCGTATGGTAAAGACAGCGAGAGCGAGACGAGGAGCTCCGAAGAGGAGAAATATAAGAAGAGAGCGACCTGCCGAGTATTTCTCTTTGTCTTTCTGATATTAACACTTATTGGCGTGGCAATAGCTGCTATTGTATTGGCTGTTATATGTAAGTATATAAACAATATCGCATCTCTGTTTATAAATCTGATAGACATTACACCTTTGGTTACTTATTCTGCTGTAAATCAAATTGGTGACTAGATATGTTCCATATGGTAATACTAATCAGACACAAGAATCGACAGGGGCGTCTTTCTTTTGGTAAAACAAGGGAACGGACCCTACTGATTAGTACCACCCCTTTAATGTTTACTAGTCAATGTGCGTTAAATTCGTAGGGTAGGCAAACTGTATTCCCGTGACAGCAGCATTTGCGAAAGATATTCGTACAAATGTATACATGAAATTGTTCCATGATAATTTTGACACACTCTACAAAACTGGATTGGTAAATAAAATGAATGACGCGGTGGTATCCGAGAACCAGGATATTTTCTTAAAATGACCTCATTTCTGTTGTGTGCTCGTTGAAAAACGTGTGTGCACGCACTCAGGTGCACAGATCAGGGAAACAAGAGGGTAAGGGTTATATTAACCACGAAATCCCCATATTGTTAATACACGCGTACTTATCCCCCCAGAAGTTGCGACACTAGCATATTGCAATTATATCACCTGGATATTCATGCTGAAATATATTTACATCTAATGACTGGCCAAAGGAAATACTGTAATTCAAATTCATTTTTAATATATCAGTTGTGTGGATAATGTTTAAGTGGTGTTCATTTTATATTTCAGTAACAAAGAACAAATCTTCAGGTGAAACAGGTAAGCATATGATTATTTACAAACAATAAAGTTTAAGGTATTATATCCCCGCACTCTGTCCCCGCACCAATCAGCTCACCCATATGTATCTGTTGTTTGTAGCGTGTGTTGCTGTTTGCTTATAGTGTTCATACATATTCAAAATGTAATTAGCAGAGGGTGGGGCAGATCCGTAAAAGTTTTAGTAGCGCACGTTAGAATCGATTTGATATATCGGAGCCATGACATACCATGCATTCCCACTTTTTGAATGATTATGATTAAGTCCTGAAAATGAACATAGTTGGCAAATATAAAGAGTAAAGAACACCAAGCATCAAATGGGACTGGTATACCTTACAAAGGGTATATGTCAAGTCATATTCTATTCTGTTCGCTAAAGAGGGAGGATTAGCACTTAAGAACTGAAGTAACGAGATTTTGATACCGGGCTGAAAAGTTTACTTTAAGCCTAACTTTAAGTTATTGGTGACAATTAATGTCAGTGGGTTCGTAGTAATGCGTAGCTTATTGATATTGAGTATGTTATTTGTTTAGAACTAAGTTGGGTCCCCTTTAACATTGCGGATTAATCCTGGCCTGGTGGAAATGGATTGGATGTTGGATTCAGAAATAAAATAAAGAAATCCCTCAAAATATTAACCAGCGTCGTTTTCTCAAGTAATTTGGTCCAGGGCAAGCAGTTCTAATGATAAAGAACGGTTACTACTGTTATCAAGGGTGGACTGGACCTCGGGTCCAGAACTCCCAGGGCCACATCGGCACCTATGGGATAAACATAACATAACATTTTATTTCATCAAAATAACTAAAACTCATCTTCTTATACACTGAGAAGTGACATCAAATATAATAGCCGCACACATCCCTATATCTTTTTAGGAAATCTCATCGAGTTCGAACGTTATTAACTATATCCGATTTCTTTCGTTATTTGCATATTTGAGGGAAGATCAGTTACGTAACGCTTGGGTAGTCCCCAGTCGAGAGGGGCGACGGACAGGCAGAAAACTCGAGAGCGCGACTCGGTGATGAATCAGCCACCCCAAACCCCGAGACTGCCACTCGCTCGTCCCATCGGCTGACCGCGGGTATCAAACCAGACGTAATGTCCCCTATCACATTATATCTTTTTATTCAATTTCAGCAAATTTCAGAAGCAGTTTAAGAATTATAGATAGGAACTTGACGAGTGAATTGCTTGATAAAACAAGTCCAGAATTTACAGCTTTTGAGAAAGAGTTTTGTACTCAGGTAAGCATTTTGTATTCACTCATATTCCATGTAAGTTTTGGGGAATTACCAGAAGTTACTGCTTCTCTGGCCTGCTTCTATCTCAAAGCTCAATGTTGTATTTCAAGTCTATTTACAACATATACTTGTGCTTAGATTGGTGATCTCTAAGATGCATTCCTATTTGAACTTTATCCCAACGTTATACTTTTTGTAGACATTTACTTTGATAACGATCTTGGTACAATAACAGTCCTTACGTATTATCTTAGATAATATATACATTGATTATAATTATGCATTTGAATAATTTCAGATCAAGGACCAGTATGCTAACTCAGGATCACCACTGGCTGGGCAGCAGCTTGAGTGTTTCATTATCAGCCTCAAGTAGGTGCTCTCTTTCTTATATTTTTAAAACAAGTTAAGCGAATATAGCATAGTGCATGTGGCTCATTATAGAAAATAATGAAAATGACCCTTCCGCTAAAATGTCTTTACAAAACTTGCGCCGGCTTCTTGACTTCACTCCGTCTTCATTAGCCGAGTTCGGAGCAGAGCAGTATGACGTTAAACCCCATTTTTATTTCATTCCATCTTTTGACTACAGGCAGTAGGTTATCCAACAGTCTGTGTGATTGGAATGCCGAAAGTGTTACCCAAGCAGACAACATTAATACTTTGCCACCGCACTGGCTTCAATATCCTTGTGTGATCGTCAGTAAGACGTCCTTGATCTAAATACTTAAATCAAGATGATGAGACAATGAGTAAAATTTAGATTACACTACTTTTCATTTTCTGTGAACCTTCAGATGCTTCACCCAAATTGGGGACAGACCAATTTTAAAATTTGAAGGTATTTCACTCTAGAGGAATTACTAAATCAATTCTTATAGCGATATCTATAATAACAGAATTATTTTTTGCACTTTTGTATTTTAGGAATGGAAGTATCATAGTGGTTTATGAAATTAGAGTTCCAGCCAATGCCGTTACTGATAAAAATGAACTCACGGTTAAGATGGAGATCCATTTATCTAACAGTGTTGTGGAAGGAAAACTTGGATCATTGACAATAGATACAACCCTGGAATGTACCGTAAAGGATGAGTCCGCTGACGTGGATACCCAATTTTGTGTTGCAAAGACAACAACCCCACCTACTACCCAAGAAACAACCCCATCATCACCGGTCGTGGAAGCACCATCATCTACAACCCCGACATCAACAGCTCAAGAAAGCATGTCTTCACCAATGGCACCTACGTCATCAGTGGTACAAGGGACCGCATCTGCATCAATCACTCCTTCAATATCTGAGGTGTCAATGGCATCGTCATCCACTATAGCCTCTTCTTCTGTAGTACAACCGGTGTCGTCATTAGGAGTACAAGGATCGGTATCATCATCAATGATACCGTCGTCATCTCCTATGCAAATACCATCGTCATCAATGGTAACTTCTTCTGGAACCCTGTCGTCTTTAATGGCATCCGTGTCGTCAGGAGTACAGGCAACCGCATCACTACCAATCACATCGTCCTCCTCCCGAATGCAAATGGCCTCGTCATCAATGGCAGCTTCTCCTAGTGTAGCACAAGCAACCATGTCGTCTTCAGTAGCATCAATCACGCCGTCATCCTCTCAGATACAAATGGCCTCGTCATCAATAACAGCTTCTTCTAGTGTATCACCAGAAAGCACGGCGTCTTCTATGACACCCTTGGGATCAGGATCACAAGCCACCACATCAGCATCGATGACACCGTCATCATCCCCAATGCAAATGGTTTCGCCATCAATGACAGATTCTTCTAGTGTAGCACAACAGACCATGACTCCAATGGCATCAGAATCAATGACACCGTCATCGTCTCCAATACAAATGGTTTCCTCATCAATGGCAGATTCGTCTAGTTTAGCACAACAGACCATGTCGTCTTCAATGGCATCTATGTCGTCAGGATTACAACTAACCGGATCAGCATCAATCACACCGTCCTTCTCTCCAAGCCAAATGGCCTCGTCATCAACGGCAGATTCTTCTAGTGTAGCACAACAGACCATGTCGTCTCCAATGGCTTCCGCATCAATGGCGCCGTCATCCTCTCCAATGCAAATGGCCTCGTCACCACTGGCAGATTCCTCTGGTGTAGCACAACAGACCATGTCGTCTTCAATGGCACCCATGTCGTCAGGATTACAGCCAACCGGATCAGCATCAATGACACCGACCTCCTCTCCAAGTCAAATGGCCTCGTCGTCAACGGCAGCTTCTTCTAGTGCAGCACAAGCAACCATGTCGTCTTCAATGGCACCAATCGCACCGTCATCCTCTCAGATGCAAATGGCCTTGTCATCGATAACAGCTTCTTCTAGTGTATCATTAGAAAGCACGACGTCTTCAATGACATCCTTGTCGACAGGATTACAAGCTACCACACCAGGATTAATTTCACCGTCATCGTCTCCAATACAAATGGTTTCGTCATCAATGGAAGATCCGTCTAGTGTAGCACAACAGACCATGTCGTCTCCAATGGCTTCCGCATCAATGACACCTTCACCCTCTTCAATGCAAATGGTTTCGTCATTAATGGCAGATTCTTCTAGTGTAGCACAACAGACCATGTCGTCGTCAATGACATCAGCATCAATGACATCGTCATCGTCTCCAATGCAAACGGTTTCCTCATCAATGGCAGATTCGTCTAGTTTAGCCCAACAGACCATGTCGTCTTCAATGGTATCAACCGGATCAGCGTCAATCACACCGTCCTTTTCTCCAAGCCAAATGGCATCGTCATCAACGGCAACTTCTTTTAGTGTAGCACAAGCAACCATGTCGTCTTCAACAGCATTAATCACGCCCTCATCCTCTCAGATGCAAATGGTTTCTTCATCAGTAGCAGATTCTTCTAGTCAAGCACAACAGACCATGTCGTCTTCAATGGCTTCCGCATCAATGACGCCGTCATCCTCTTCAATGCAAATGGCCTCGTCACCACTGGCAGATTCTTCTAGTGTAGCACAACAGACCATGTCGTCGTCAATGACATCAGCATCAATGACATCGTCATCGTCTCCAATACAAATGGTTTCCTCATCAATGGCAGATTCGTCTAGTTTAGCACAACAGACCATGTCGTCTTCAATGGCATCTATGTCGTCAGGATTACAACTAACCGGATCAGCATCAATCACACCGTCCTTCTCTCCAAGCCAAATGGCCTCGTCATCAACGGCAGATTCTTCTAGTGTAGCACAACAGACCATGTCGTCTCCAGTGGCTTCCGCATCAATGGCGCCGTCATCCTCTCCAATGCAAATGGCCTCGTCACCACTGGCAGATTCCACTGGTGTAGCACAACAGACCATGTCGTCTTCAATGGCACCCATGTCGTCAGGATTACAGCCAACCGGATCAGCATCAATGACACCGACCTCCTCTCCAAGTCAAATGGCCTCGTCGTCAACGGCAGCTTCTTCTAGTGTAGCACAAGCAACCATGTCGTCTTCAATGGCACCAATCGCACCGTCATCCTCTCAGATGCAAATGGCCTCGTCATCGATAACAGCTTCTTCTAGTGTATCATTAGAAAGCACGACGTCTTCAATGACATCCTTGTCGACAGGATTACAAGCTACCACACCAGGATTAATTTCACCGTCATCGTCTCCAATACAAATGGTTTCGTCATCAATGGAAGATCCGTCTAGTGTAGCACAACAGACCATGTCGTCTCCAATGGCTTCCGCATCAATGACACCTTCACCCTCTTCAATGCATATGGTTTCGTCATTAATGGCAGATTCTTCTAGTGTAGCACAACAGACCATGTCGTCGTCAATGACATCAGCATCAATGACATCGTCATCGTCTCCAATGCAAACGGTTTCCTCATCAATGGCAGATTCGTCTAGTTTAGCCCAACAGACCATGTCGTCTTCAATGATGCCCATGTCGTCAGGATTACAAGCAACCGGATCAGCATCAATCACACCGTCTTCCTCTCTAATGGCTTCAGGGTCAATGACGCCGTCATCCTCTCCAATGCAAATGGCAGATTCTTCTAGTGTAGCACAACAGACCATGTCGTCGTCAATGACATCAGCATCAATGACATCGTCATCGTCTCCAATGCAAACGGTTTCCTCATCAATGGCAGATTCGTCTAGTTTAGCCCAACAGACCATGTCGTCTTCAATGGTATCAACCGGATCAGCGTCAATCACACCGTCCTTTTCTCCAAGCCAAATGGCATCGTCATCAACGGCAACTTCTTTTAGTGTAGCACAAGCAACCATGTCGTCTTCAACAGCATTAATCACGCCCTCATCCTCTCAGATGCAAATGGTTTCTTCATCAGTAGCAGATTCTTCTAGTCAAGCACAACAGACCATGTCGTCTCCAATGGCTTCCGCATCAATGACGCCGTCATCCTCTTCAATGCAAATGGCCTCGTCACCACTGGCAGATTCTTCTAGTGTAGCACAACAGACCATGTCGTCGTCAATGGCATTCATGTCGTCAGAATTACAAGCAACTATCACACCGTCATCACCTCAAATGCAAATGGTTTCGTCATCAATGGCAGATTTTTCTAGTGTAGCACAAGTTACCACGTCGTCTTCAATGGCAGCAGCATCCATGCCATCGTCATCCTCCCCACTGCAAATGGTTTCCTCATCAATGTCAGATTCGTTCAGTGTAGCACAACAGACCACGTCGTCTTCAATGACGCCCATGTCGTCAGGATTACAAGCAACCGGATCAGCATCAATCACACCGTCTTCCTCTCTAATGGCTTCAGGGTCAATGACGCCGTCATCCTCTCCAATGCAAATGGCAAATTCTTCTAGTGTAGCACAACAGACCATGTCGTCGTCATTGACATCAGCATCAATGACATCGTCATCCTCTCCAATGCAAACGGTTTCCTCATCAATGGCAGATTCGTTCAGTGTAGCACAACAGACCATGTCGTCTTCAATGACGCCCATGTCGTCAGGATTACAAGCAACCGGATCAGCATCAATCACACCGTCTTCCTCTCTAATGGCTTCAGGGTCAATGACGCCGTCATCCTCTCCAATGCAAATGGCAGATTCTTCTAGTGTAGCACAACAGACCATGTCGTCGTCATTGACATCAGCATCAATGACATCGTCATCCTCTCCAATGCAAACGGTTTCCTCATCAATGGCAGATTCGTTCAGTGTAGCACAACAGACCATGTCGTCTTCAATGACGCCCATGTCGTCAGGATTACAAGCAACCGGGTCAGCATCAATCACACCGTCTTCCTCTCTAATGGCTTCAGGGTCAATGACGCCGTCATCCTCTCCAATGCAAATGGTTTCGTCATCAATGGCAGATTCTTCTAGTGTAGCACACCATACCATGTCGTCTTCAGTGGCAGATATGTCGGCAGGATCACAAGCTACCACATCACCACCAGTAACACCGTCATCATCTCTAATGCAAACATTTTCGTCATCAATGCCCGCTTCCTCTGGTGTTGTACAAGGAAGCATGTCTTCATCAGAAGCACAAGCAGATACATCTGCATCAATCACACCTTCCTTCTCTCAGACGCAAACGGCCTCGTCAGTAATGGCATCTTCAATGTCTACGACACCATAGAAACAATTTCTTCTTCTGTGACTTCAGCGGAATCTATGTCCTCAACTGTATAACTATGAACATTTTGGGTATTATAGTGTATGTTTGGTCTAGAAAGTAATCGAACAGAAAGTGCAATCATCTTTGTGTGTGTGATATCTCTTCCTTTCTTTGTAAGTAAATTGGACCTATTTCAGTGCGGAAGTTTTAGCGGTAAAGTTCTTTGTATGTTTGAGTGTACGAATCTTTCTATTTTTCCTTGTACAACCCCAAGGGTTTTACGGGTTGGGTAAAATATGGTACCATCGATTTAAAGGGCAATTAAACTCAAAATCCGTAAATACAAAAAATGACCATTGTTTAATATGTGTACGCCGACAGGGGAACAAACCTAAGCGTCTGGCGTTTCGAAAAAGAGAAAAGAGGCTCTGCCTCGTGCTTGACACTCTCCACTACTATGATAACACATAGAAACATGTGTTTCGTTGCCGAATTATTGTTTTATCGTTTGTCAAAATAACTATTATGTCACGAATGTCTCTTCCTCAAGGTAGAGAAGAGAACATTATAATTTTGAATGACAAAAATTGCATATTATTTTTTATCAGTGTAGATATGTACAGCGTGTATAATTTTTAATGTATATTAATTATTTCTTATGTTATTATTGCTGTTTGCTGGTTCAAACATTTTACAATTTAAGTGTAAATATAAAGACAAAGATATTATTATACGTATTACAAAATGTTAAATACTTTTTATACACATTTTTAAATATTAAACGAATTATGTATATATGTATAAATAGAAAAAAAATATTTTAAATTTACCAATAAACAAAATTAAACATTTTTATAAAAAATACTAATAAAATACAAAATATAACCATTTTTGTTCTGTGTCATTTTAATAGATACACCTTAATAGGGAACTGGGTGATCATAGTGGACTATATAAATCTGAGATTTGTGGGTTTAGATTGGAATACTGAAGAATTTGTTTCTAATGTGACAAGATTTTACGCCCAATGCACATACCAACAAAGGAACGATTAGAAACAAAGACAAATTGCGCAATCTTACCGAAAACGATGCAAATTCAAGACCCAAAAAGGTCCCCAAATCAGAAACCGGGACCACAAATTACACGAAAACTTCTTTAGAGGTACCGTAGCCTACTCACACAGACTCATTCTCAATCAATCTCTGTCACAATGTAAAACTTATGGGGAGGTAAGGGAGTGGAGTGCTCATGTTCCCATACTTTTAATAGTTCCAAGATTTACCACGTGAGTTGGGTAAATGCAAGTGTATCAACGGACAAACAGAGCATGTTAGTGAGCTTATATGTTGACCATACGGTTGCATGTTGGGACCCCCATTTGTCCAATCTTTCTATCCCTCAATAAAATACCGATTCTCCATATTTCAGTACATCGATCCGTTTAACGTTTCAAATTTACTGGATTTTAAGTAAACGATATAAATTCTCAAATCTCTCAGATATCCATAATTTTGTCAATATTTTATGAAATCATTTAAAGTTTTGTGTGGAAACTATACATATCTATAACCCACCCTTCTTTGTCGACCTATTTTTCTAATACTTTGGGTGATATTAGTAGGGCCTGAAAATTGATGATCCGAGATGGCCGCATACATTTCACATTGGAAGCAATGTTTACTTTGAAATATCCCTATTAATATTTATCCAAATTTATTTACTACCCAGTGTCTTGTTTGTGAGTGCATCGTACTCAATGGCGAAAAGAGAATCACATAATTGTTCTTGTAAGTATTACGTCGCTTTGCCGAAATCTGAATTATCCTTTATTTGTCAACATTTTATAAAGTATTTTATATTATCAATATGATGTGTAGAATATGGATTCTAAAAATAGCTTTCATTGTCCGTCACTCTTTGTGATACTTTTGGCAAAAAATAAACATTGCCCGTTTTTGTCAGTCAGTAAGAACTCGCTTTAACACTATCGACTGACAGTGTACTGATAAATCACAGATCTTGGTCTTGGTCATTTATTACACTAGACCATATCAAATATTAACGGTTTTTAAATAGCATTTTTTCGTTGTCAGTATCACCGACGTTAGTGACGCTGTATCTATTTTTATGGCACTATAAGTAGAAACGCAAGACGGGTTTTAGTTATTAAATTACAAACGTTGAAACTATCAGACTTGTTCATTGGGATATGTTCATTGGCGCATTGGTTTCCTTCCATTAATTATTTTATTAGACCAGGAATATGTTTCCAGGACGCGGGAGTAACAGAGATCAGGATTTACCCCTAGAATTGAACGAAACTCCACAATGGGTGAATTTTTTCAATGAACCTGCGTATGAGAATTATAAATCTGATCTTAGAAGTGTAAGTAAATTTGAAGAAATCCATTTGAACGAATATCATTATAATTATAATCAGCGGCTGCCAAGCAAGATACGCCCACTTTTTGCAAGAGATGGATAGAGAACAAGAATTAAAATAAAAGCTATTTTCCGTAAAATCAGGGGCCATAACCCATTAAGTTATTTGGGATATAAAGATATATGTTAAGTTTCATCAAAATCTGATAAAAATTGTGACTTCTAGCTAGAGGGTCCAAAGCTAAAAACATGATTTTTCGTACAATCAGGGGCCATAATCTAGGAAGTTAAGGTCCGATATCGACAGGAACCACAATCTTTGGATTATAATCAAGCATTTCAAGTTCCATCAAAATCGGATAAAAATTGTGACTTCTAGAGGGTCTACAACCTTAGTATTACATATTTTTACACTATTTACGTACAAGGAGCAGCCATTTTGTCCAGCAGTTTGGTTCATATGTTTACGAAATTTAAATTCAACCTTCATTGATGTGTAACGGTGATATATTTAAGCGGTTTTTTTTAATTGAATACAAATTGTGACTTCAAGCGTGTTCACAAGCTAAAAATGTGATGTTTCGAACAATCAGGGGCTATAATCCAGGAAGTTACGTTCGGATATGCGCGATTATCAACAGGAACCAAGATCTTTGAGATATAAACATGTATTTTAAGTTTCATTAAAATCGGATCAAAATTGTGATCTCTAGAGTGTCCGGCAGTTTTAGTCCGATTTTCACGCAGTTCATTTGGGTGTGACGGTGATATAGTCAAACATGTTTTTAAATTGGATATAAATTGTGCACTTTAGAGGTACCACAAGCTAAAAACGCGACTTTTCGTACAATCAGGGGCCATAATAAGGAAGTTACGATCCGATATGAGCGAATATCGAAAGGAACCAAGATCTTGGGTTATAATCATATATTTCAAGTTTCATCAAAATCGGATACAAAATGTGGCCTCTAGAGGGTCCAGAACCTTGGTATACCATATATTTACATTATTTGCGTACGAGTGGCGGCCATTTCGTCCGGCAGTGTTGGTCCGATTTTCACGAAATTTGAACTCAACCATCATTAGGGTGTAACGATGATATATTCAAACGATGTTTGAAATCGGATAAAAATTGTTACCTCTACAGGGACCACAATCTAAACACGCGATTTTTCGTACAATCCAGGGCCATAATTCAGGAAGTTACGATCCGAGATGCGTGAATATCGAAAGAAACTAAGATCATATAAACATGTATTTTAAGTTTCATTAAAATCGGATCAAAATTGTGACCTCTAGAGCCTTGATATACCATATTTTTTTAACACTATTTGTGTACGAGGGCGGCCTTTTTGTAAGACAGATTTGGTCCAATTTTCACAAAATTCAAACTCAACCCTCATTACGGTGTAACGGTGAAATATTCGAACGGGTTTTGAAATCGGACAATAATTGTGACCTCTAGAGGGACCACAAGCTAAAAACGTGATTTTTTCGTACACTCAGGGACTATATTTCAGGAAGTTACGGTCCGATTTGTGCAAATATCGCAAAGAACCAAGTTCTTTGGAATATAAACATGCATTGTAAGTTTCATCAAAATTAGATGGAAATTGTGATCCCCAGAGTGTCCACAAGCTAAATATGTGATTTTTCATACAACCAGGGGTCATAATCCATGAAGTTTCGATCCGATACATGGCACTATCAAAAGGAACCAAGATCTTTTGGAGATCAACCTATATTTCAAGTTTCATCAAAATCGGATAAGAATTGTGACCTTTAGAGTGTCGACAAACAAATTGTGGACGTATGTACGGGCAGACAGTATACGTCCACATGAAGATGTGGGCGTATAAAATAGTTTTGTCATTGAGCGTAATTATATTATCAAGAATAACTTATGACAAGAAAAGAAAGGGCTAGAACATGGTTAATTTTATTTTCTATGGTCACCTCCACAGTCTTTGGGAAATTTTACCCGGAAATGAAATGGAGTTGAACGCCTTACTGCTCCAGTACGCACCAACCGAGCTATGAAGACAGTCGAATATTTCATTCCATCTCATTTCCGTTGTATCTATGATAGATTTCCTAATTAAAACACGACGGGATAGATTTTTTCTAACATTCTATTGCAGGGGCTAAAGCTCTACAATGGAAGGTCTCATGCGTACCAAAGTGAAACTCATTCAAGAACTTTTGATCCTCCACACACAGTTTAATTTTTATCTTATGAATTGGACAAAAATTGTCGCCTCTAGGAGGTCCAAAAAACTTCATTCATATTTTACAATTTGAGTAAAAAAGCATTTAGCATGACCCTAGAACGAAAGGTCCGATGCGCACCAAACTTGAACTCATCAAACACTTGTTTTAAGTTTCATCGAAATCGATAAAAATTGTTACAACCTCGGTATTACACACTTTTACAGGAACGGTGATATATCTAAAAACGTTAAAAACGTGATTTTTCGTACAATCACGGTCCATAATCCAGAAAGTTACGGCCCGATCAGCGCAAATCGGAAATAAATTGTGACTTCTAGATGGTCCACAACAGGGTGACCTTCGGTCGCATGGATTTCCGAACTTTAGTCGAACATTTAGTTGAACCCCTGGCCGATTGCCAATGCGTTGTTTACACCATGGACCGTATTTCAGGCTCCATGGTAACACCCGGTAGTTAGAGAATGGGGGTTAGGGTATAGATATTAACAACTTTGATTTTTATTCAAGTTTTCTTGATGAATTTGACAGATTAAGATCTTCTCATTCGAATATATATAGGCCCACGACAAAAAACTTTGTGAAATGATCCATGTTACCAGTTAACCCGGATGGAGTCAGAGTTGTAAGAAAATGTTTTAAAAGCATCTCGATTGTCAAAAATGTAGTTTTAGAAATGAGTAAATAGCAGAACATATAGCAGGAGAAACAACTGCAATGGGCGCCGCCATATTGAATAGCCAATTGTTCGGGCCATTTGCGTTCGCGTGCTGGTTCAGACTGTAGTCGCGACCACAGTTTACATTCGAAGGTCGCCCTGGGTATGATATGCTTTTACATTATTTGCGTAAAGGGGTGCTGCCTTTTGAACTTTGAGTTTGTACTCAGCCATAACGGTTTTTACAATCAATAAAAATTGTGACCTCTAGAGGGCTCACAAGCTAAAAATGTGAGTTTGTGTACAATCAGGGGGCCATAATCCAAGAAGTTACGGTTATAAACATACATTGTAAGTTTCATCAAAATCGGATAAAAATTGTGACCTCTAGAGTGTCCACAACCTTGGTAATATTATGTACATGTATAGAAAATGTTTGGTGGTTAGCTGCTCCGACACCACTCGGACTAACGCGATTGTAGACTTTTAAGTGATTAATGTGTTCGCGATACAATCAATTCTGTATTTTATGATATAAACTACTAATGTAAACGCTACCGTTAGTTGTAAAATATACATTTT